CTAACCAAAACACTTGGGGATAATTTAAACCACCCCGAGTTCAAATTGGTTCCCCCCCCCCCCCGGTACCCACAGTTTTCACTTACCACAAAGCAAAAACCAATGGTCATCATTTTTAGAGTCCGCCGGCAACTGTGCCCAGAGAGCCCTCTTCTTTCAACCACCTGCTGTGAAATCACGTCTCCAGCACCCACAAGGGCCCCTATATACAAAATTAATTCAACATTGATTCATCCGTATTCTACTCAATGCCAGAGAACCTAAAACTTAAAGTTTGAATATGTACGAAATGTATGGTAATATTTGATCTTGTGTGTGTGTGTGTACGTGTGTGTACCTTTAAGTCAGTGTTGACTCCTGGCAACTGCCTGGACATGTCCCTGCAGTTTTCTTGACAAGATTTTGGAAGTGGTTTGCCATTGCCTACTCCCTAGGGCTGAGAGAGAGTGACTGGCCCAAGGTCACCCAGCTGGCTTCATGCCTAAGGCGGGACTAGAACTCACAGTCTCCTGGTTTCTAGCCTGGTGCCTTGACCACTAGACCAAACTGGGTCACTGCACCAAACTGGTTCTGATCTTTCCCTTACCTATATTATCTCTGCTGTTTTCTCCTTTCATGTGTTCTAATTCAATTAGTTGCTTCTTGATTTGGGCAAACCATAGTTTGCCAGTACCTTTCAGCTTTCTAACCTGAATTCTAACAGAAGGTTCCTAATAGTACTCTTGTGAGTTCCTAACTATATTTTACTCTCCATGTTTCCAAGTCCCTGACACTGCAGTCCTCTACACATTGCTTATTATGCCTGAATAAGACATCGAAATGGACATGGGTAGCTCAAGGACTGTTGATTCCTCCTTGCTCTCAAAAAAGACAGTCAGTGGTAAGTGAAAGATCAGTTGTGCTGGCTAGCCCATGGCTGTGGTATAACAAAGAAGAGTAGATCTTTTGTACTAGACTTGTACAGGTTTAGATTGGTGGATGGGAGAGTTTCAAAATCCTACCATAAAAACTGTGCAAGATCACAGGTTAAAGGAACTCTCCCTTTGTTTTACCTAAGAGAAATTTAAATACTCTTGCTAACACCAAGACTAAATATGGGACGTTATCCATTGCTCTGATGCAGAAGTTGAGACAAAAGACATGGGTCCAAATCACGTCTTTACTGAAGTCTAGTCTGGGGGCGGGGGCAGAGCAGTTAATCCACTGACTTCCAAAAGTCTCTGCCAACAACTCCTGACGTCAAGCCTCCCTCCTTGGGCTAGATCTAGCCAGCTGGCAGAGAAATAAGCCACAATGCTAGGAAGAGCTGCCAGTCTCTCCTTCCCTTGGAGCCGACTGAAAAGGTGCAGCAAGTGCTGAGTGTCAAGGGCAAAAGAGGAGATCCAGCTACAGTAAGTGCCACTTGTACAGTAGCTGTCTCAGTTTCCTCTGTATGCTTGAGTCTCCAGACTCTCAGGAATCTGCCAGAAATACAAAGTGATTTCTTGGCTTTCCAGATGAATTTATCTGTCTCAGTTACTGATCAACTCCATTAAATGAGAGTTATCACATTGCAGAAAAACCCAGAGAAAAATTGTCAGGTGCTGGGGTAATAAGGCTTGTCCAGAGGAACAAGCACCACATGTAATTTATGTCAAACAGGAAAGTGATACTATGCAGAAGCATGACAGAGCACTATGAAATCATTAGAGACAGTCAGGGCAAGTTTCCTCCCCCACAGTACAAATATACAAGGAAGTGGAGTGGATCATAAGTTGAGGAAGAAACCATATACCCCCAGAGCAGATAATGAAGGCAAGGCAGATGCTGTGGAATTTGGTTGCCAATAGGAAACTAATGATCAGTCTTTCAAGTATTGCCCATGTTAAGGACTAACCCTTTTTAGTATTTGAGATTCTCTTGTTCAGCTGTGCAAACTTGCTTGGGTGGGACATTCAGTCCCAAAGAGATAGGAACCACTTTCTTTGGCTGCAGTATCAGAAACATCATAGTGTTGGCTCAGCTTCCCAACTCATCCATTGATAAATACACAGCTACTGGAAGCAAATGCGCTTTCCCTGATCCATTCATTCATTCATCTATATAGGGTGGAGGTGGCACCTGAGTGATGCAGCTGGCAGGCTTGCTAAATGTAATGGGATGAGTCTCTCTCAATGCCAGCTACACCACAGAGATTGATGACTCTCTGGGCGATGACTTCACCCACATGGAACTTTGGGGGGCTGCCAACTCTGCTTGCTAGTCACCCCTACAACAAACAGGCAGATTCCATTACCCCTGATGGATGGCCCTGTGACGAAGTTGTCAGCAAGAAAAATTAGGGAGGGGAAAGATGCAGGAATAAGTACACAAGCATTAGCACAACAGTTCCAGAACTTGTTTAATAAAAGCAAATCCACAATGGCTGTGTATGTTGACATTTAATGAAATTAAACGTAGTAAATTAAATGTGCAAATTCAGAGTTAATCAGATCAGGAAAAAAACCCAGCCCATAGCTTTATAAAACATGCTAAAGTTTTTAGTTAATGTTATCCTTAGTTGTTGTTGCTTAGCATGTTGTATGAAGTTAGTTCATTGGTTAGTTTATAGTTTAGTGAATTGTACAACTCAGAAAATGGATTAATTAATTGACCAGATTTGCATGAGAGCTGGCCCTGTTGTGAAAATAACTCTGTACTTCCAACATGAGATGCAGTGCTGGTGGTGAGGCAGGCTACTTAATTATTTGAAAGGCTATGCCCAGTCTACCTGCAGTGCACTGGAATTGGGAACATTTGCCCTCTTATTTGCTGGGAAACCTTCTCAGTTGTCTACCTATCTCCAGCAACACCGTCTGACTGCATTGGGCTACTTAGCCCTCCATCCCTCATCCCATAATATGTTGGAATTGCCTACAGTGGCATCACTTCTATTCAGAGTGCCTAGCTATGCTCCATAACTGAGAGATAAAATTGACTTTGGGTGGAAAACACAAAGATGCAGACCTTCTCCTGCCCTCTGTACACAGGAGACCCAAGAGTCCCTCAAGGACTTGCCAGAAAGAACAGACTAAGTGCAGTTTATTTATATTTATGGAGAAAAATTGTTGGCTTTGTTTACATGATTAACTCAACTATGGTCTACTTTACTAGCCTGATGTTCTGAGTTTGCAAATATACTGAAACCTCAGCTGACCATACAGTCTGCATATGTACAACATGCTAAACTAAAATCTGGTTGGCTACTTTGTGGTTCAGTGTAGTGATGCAACCTAAAGATCTGATGGTATGTGTGAAGTAACCTAAAATCTGTGCATGGTGTGCAGTACTGGGCTGGGGCAAGTTCCCTTACAATTCATGCCATGCACTTCTGGAAGAGCCTCCAACTGACTAAGGGCATATTCCCTAAGAGATATGCACAAAGTCTTGAATTACCACTTCTGATAGCAAGACCAATGGTCAGTTTGGAAGCAAAGCCTAGATTCTTAAGTGAAGACTCTGGAGTGGAGATTACTATCCCTTGAGGAAGGCAGTTCCACCCTATTCCTTTCCCCCTCATCTGAGGAGAACTGCCCTTCTATAATGGACTCAGTGGAGAGTCATTCTCTTGGGATGTGTATCTTGGAATAACTTCCTTTTATTGGCACATTCATAGTAATAGGACAAGAGCAGAAACCACTGTTTTTTTCAAATAGCGGGGTGCACCTCCTCAGAGGAAAGAGGAGGTTCCTACCTCCAATCAATGTAAACCCAGATACACGCAAGACAGGGGACAGTGGGATAGGTGCTCTCCTCCAGGGAAGTTGCATCTTCTCTCCTTCTAAAATGCAGGCTCCTCAGAACATTGTATCAAAGGAATTCTCCAGCTAAATCCATCTAAGGGGGTCTAAATCACCTGGGACTGTTTCCTATCACAGCTAGCTCACATGCTTCTAGGAATTCCTGGAGGTGTGGGGGGCAGTGAGGAAGATTCTCACATTACATTTGACTTTCCCCCATCATTTTAATTTTTATTAATTTGTTTACTGGGCTTATATGCCACTCCATTTGCTGATGACTCAGTGGCATACATATTGACATCCTTAAATCAGGTTAAAATATATCCAAATTACAGTATGAAAATCAAAATAAATCTACATATATAGATTTGGGAACATCAGTTACATTAGACAAGTACTCCAAAGCCAGAGGGAACAACATTAAAACATCCCAATCCTTGTGGCCTGCTAGAATAGCTAAGTTTTAATGGCCTTCCTGAAAACTGGTAGGATAAGAGGCATTCATTGCTATGGGGCAAACCAAAAGATTTGCATGGAGATTCAAGGGGTAATGACTACCTATTAGGCAGCAATTCAAATAAATTTGCCACTTTGAAGTTCATCTTATCTCTGAAGCTTGGTCTTTAAATGCTGGATTGGGAAAGCCTCTGAAAAATTATTCATATTGGGGATATTTCTCTCAGTCCCAGCTTTCTGCTCCAGAAGCAACAAGAGTTTTTGCAAGGGGAATATGAAGAACAGCATCCTTGACATAGGTGGCTGCTAGTCAAAGCCATTTATGCCACTGTACTATAGAAATGTGGCTCCAATGAAAATAATCAGAAACCCTTTCAGGAGACAAACCCTAATGATTCAGCAAGTTTAACCCATTTTCTGTGTTTACACAATACACTGAACCATAAACTAATGAAAAATGCTGAGCAAAAGGAAAGAAGGAAAGAGAGGGTTAAAAGTAATCAAGTATACTGTATTGTTTACATATAGCTGCTAGGATTTAAATGACCAGATTAAATATGTTCTTGTTAACACAAAGTCTTAGCAAAGTCTTAGCATCAATCTTTCAGAAGCCAACCACAGGGAATGAAAAACATATTCATATCACTGCTAAGTTACCATGACCCAATCAGTTCCTATTGGGCTAACTTAGGATAACCCAATACTTGACCCAATGCCTTGACCTCCTCAGAGGAATGGCAGGAAATCAATGTAACAATTAGAAAAATCTCCCCAATTTCAAGATCCTAATTTCCAAGTTTCAGACCCTGCCAACCTTTAAACTCTGGATAAGCAGTGAAGTGAGAACCCATCCTTGGAAAAGGCTGAGGACAAACCATTTAGGATTCTGCAATAGCAGTGTCTTTTTACTGTCTCTTCACAATGCAGGGGCCTCTTTTACACTTTGCAGTAGACGCCATTAGATTAACTTTGAATATTGTTTATGTTGTTGGCTTATAGTTTTTAAGGATTTTATTTGCCTGTTATCATAGTGTTATGTTCGTGATCCCCTGTTATTGACATAATGGAGGTTTAATATTATACCAGTTGCTATCTTTTATTGTATTGTGATTGTATGTTTTTCATTTTAGCAATTGTTAAATCATTTATGTGCCTTATTGTAACTTATCTAGTCAGAAAGATTTTAATATTATACCAGTTGCTATCTTTTATTGTATTGTGATTGTATGTTTTTCATTTTAGCAATTGTTAAATCATTTATGTGCCTTATTGTAACTTATCTAGTCAGAAAGATTTTAATATTATACCAGTTGCTATCTTTTATTGTATTGTGATTGTATGTTTTTCATTTTAGCAATTGTTAAATCATTTATGTGCCTTATTGTAACTTATCTAGTCAGAAAGACATTCTATAACTGAATATAAATGTATAAAATAACAAAAATGTTGCTTGTGCATCCACTCTTTCTAGAAGACAGAAATATACAACCCCCTCAGTTGATACACCTATAACTGAATATAAATGTATAAAATAACAAAAATGTTGCTTGTGCATCCACTCTTTCTAGAAGACAGAAATATACAACCCCCTCAGTTGATACACTGGAGGAACATTTATGTATTTTAGATTCCTACTATAAGAACCACCACAAAAGGAAGTGGCTGTGATCAACCAGCAGCAGTGAACAACCAGAGGGAACAAAGGACGACAGCAAGCAGCCAGAGAAGTGGGGAAATCCCCTGTTCCTTTCCCAGGGCTAATATGCCTTAGCTCCTCTTACCAGCTGTGATGATTTGCACCTTCCAGGGGTGCCGGACCATCAATCTCTGGTAGGCTCTCCAAAAGGTTGCCATGTCATCTAACACAGCTTCTACAGTACAAAGAAGTGAAAAAGACATTGGAGCACAAATTCTGCCTAACAGTGCATCATGATTAGAAGCAGTACCATTCCCCGACCTGCGGTGAGGAAATGTTTTGACCCTCAACACACTGTTGTAATGGCCTTACTGTATAATGTTGCCCCTCTCTTTTTTTCAGAAAGCCATATATTTTATTTCATGCATGTAAATTTTGGAGCAGTAAAAATGTTTGACAGTGGAACTAATGGGTCTTGTTTCACTGGATGTGTTCAAACAAAGGCCAAACAGCTTCACTTTGGATTCTTCACTAAGACATTTGTTACAATGACTCACACGGCTCCTTCTTACTCTAGGATTCTATGAAATACTTTTCTCCTGTCTGTAACTCCTTGCTGTGCAATTATTTCTATTTATCTAATAAAGTTAAACTAGTTCCAATGAAAAACAAATATTCTGAGCATGTGCAGTTTCCATACGTTAAATGTATTTAAACTGCACTATTACCATGACTGCATACATAAAAAGAAAGCAAGTGCTATGCTTGTCTTCGTGAAGTGTGTTGATGGTATGTGTGTTTACCTGGAAACAATTACACTTTTATTAGAAAGTAAACGACCACAGAAAAAGACCATTATGACATGCAACATCTAAGAGCGACCCTGTCACTGATACTCAGTCTGCTTGCCTCAGAAATTCAGCTGTGTTTGCGTGCTAACAGGTTTTTTTTAAAGAAAACATCAAGTTATTCTTTATTTTAATACATTTCACCGGAACATGCTGGCTAGGATGCCTTTTTATGCGTACACCCGCCTCTCCTAGTTTCCCTTCCAGTTTCATTTCGCCTCTGAGAAAGTTATCTCACCACAAGACAGCTGACAAACCCCACGACGGTTAGGCAAAGAAAAACATCGACTGCCCACCCGCACCTCACGAACTCTGCCGCCGGAGGACGCACAGACGTCGGATATATGGGCAGGCACGTGCCTCGAACTACCTCAAGGCACAAGGTGATGACGCACAACATTGCTCAAGCGTCTATTGGTGGAAAGAAACAGAGGGGCGGGAGGGAAGAATATGCGTGCTCCACAACTCTAGTAGAACTACGAATTATACAGAGGAGTCGCATGGGGCTTCACTGGAACTGTTTCAAAATAAATTGTTCACGCAGTTAGAAAAATTGCAAGACACGCTTTAAACACCGCTGGCTCTAAGCGTCAGGGATTTTTTTCCTCCGCCTCACCAAAAATAAGTTGTTTGCGTTTGCATGGACTGTTAGCGCAGGCAAGCTCCTTGTTCTGTTGTAATGACGAGCAAGGTTAAAGAGCACGCTGAACTGGAAGAGGCCATTCAGATAGACTGGCCTTCGATAAAGACGTAAGAGGCTTGGAACCTATGAGTGGAAGAGTAAACTGGACTCTACGAAGAAACCGCATTAGCTGTCTCCCGTTCCCAAATGTACCATGTGAACAGACTTGATTAATCATCGCTGCAGCTGCATTCTCTCACACTTTAAAAAGCTCTCATATGCTGCTGCAGCCCCTTCACTCTAACTTTTCTCCGTTTCCCATTTACAGACAGCTTGCAGTTTTGCCCAAACAGGGCTTCTTCTAAGGCAGTGTTTCTCAACCTTGGCAACTTTAAGATGGGGGGACTTCAACTCCCAGAATTCCCCAGCCCAATTCTGGGAGTTGAAGTCCCCCCATCTTAAAGTTGCCAAGGTTGAGAAACTATGTTCTAAGGAATTAAAAACTCCCTAGCCAGAGATTAGGGTTCTCAAAACATTTTTAAAAATCTCTGTGGCTTTGTGATTCCAGTATCTGCTATGCCTCTGAAAGGATCACTCCTCACCTCGCTCCTTCTCAACAAAACAGATGAGAGATTCTGCTGGTCCAACCCTGTCTGCTAAATGAGAAGGCACGCATCCAGCAAATGGGCTCAAGCTAATCATGGGTTTTGAAAAGCACCAAAATATCAGCAGAGCCTGTCCTTCACATGCAGGTAAGTGTGGGAAGTTCACCAGCTGAACCAAATATTTTTCCCCCCAAGTCAATTATTGATATGTGTTTTAAAATTTGCTTTGAATTTTGAAAGCCTCTTTTAGCACCTGCATGTTTATAAAAGCAGGCAGCATAGACTGTACCTTGCAATACTGCTGTCCCTTTTCAAGGGAGCAAGAGATATATCCTGGAGCAGCTATGCCTGAAGGCACCATACATGGTTAGACAATGCTGGAGTGGAACAGTAAGAAGGGAGTCCTCACCCATCCTACTACCAGCTTGGAAGATGCAACTGCACAGGAAGTGACAGAACTACTTGGTCCCCTTGTTACACATTTGTAGACTCCAATGCACCAAGGAATAACCAACCTATGAGAACTCACCTTAAACAAAGGAAGCACCACTGAGTTGTGTTTGCACAGCAGCTCAGATAAAGACAGCAACTGTATTTGCATAAAGTTGAAGCTTGGGTAGAATCAAGGGATGGAAGAGGCAATATAAACTATTGAGTCCTTTGCAGGAACACAAATTAAAGTACCCCAAAAAGATGGCTCTTTCTCTTCTGGCTGAGCACATCCCAACGAAGGGGAGCCCACCACATTTCTAATTGGTTCTACTGTCAGATTACTCTGTAATAAGTTTCTTCTAAGATTCCATTAGAATCTCCCTTGCTATAACTGAAACCCATTTCGTGCCCAGCATTTGGAATGGGACATCCTTTCAGGTATTTTAAATGTGCTATTGTATTCTCAGTTGTCCTTCCTCAAGGTTAAACATACCCAAGTCCTTCAATCTCTTTTCACAGACTTTTTGTCCCCTAATTATGCTTGTTGCTTGCCCTTCCTTCTTCTAAAATAGGCTTTCCAGAACTGGACACAGTACTCAGCGTGAGGTAGTACTCAAACTAGGATAGAGTGAAATGATTGTTTGCTATCCATCTGTTAATGCAGCTGACTGGGAACCATTAGGATCCTTGAGAAATAATGGGAAATATGTTTTTGTAAAGCAGTGTTTCTCAACCTCAGAAACTTTAAGATGGCTGGGGAATTCTGGGAGTTGAAGTCCACACATCTTAAAGTTGCCAAGGTTGAGAAACACTGGCTTAGGGTTACGTTTAAGTAAATTTTTGGAAATGGTTAATTCTGGGAGTTGAAGTCCACACATCTTAAAGTTGCCAAGGTTGAGAAACACTGGCTTAGGGTTACGTTTAAGTAAATTTTTGGAAATGGTTAATTCTGGGAGTTGAAGTCCACACATCTTAAAGTTGCCAAGGTTGAGAAACACTGGCTTAGGGTTACGTTTAAGTAAATTTTTGGAAATGGTTCTCCTAGCCAAACTAGCTACATGGTTCTGTTACTCTATTACTAACTCTAGCCTTCTTTTGGTTATTTGTTATATAAACCAGTCACTCTGACTGCCAGAAGATACACTTGGATAAAGAAAACAGAGTTTCACTCTGGCATGTCCTCCATCCAAACCTCAATTCCTTCCCTTTTAGAGGTTTTTGGAAGCTCAGACTTCTCCATTTATAGCTTCTCCCTTAAGAGTCCAGCTGAGGTGTTGCTCTGATCTAAAATTCTTTTGAATGACAGATTCTATTTATATAGTGATCACACAGCCTAAATGTGCCTTTGAGAGAGCCAGTTTGGTGTAGTGCACTGGGCTAGAAACTGGGAGACTGAGTTCTAGTCCTGCCTTAGGCACAAAGCCAGCTGGGTGACTTGGGCCAGTCACTCTCTCTCAGCCCTAGGAAGGAGGTGATGGCAAACCACTTCTGAAATCTTGCCAAGAAAACTGCAGGGACCTATCCAGGCAGTCACCAGGAGTCAATGCTGAAGGTACAGAATGAATGAATGAATGAATGAATGAATGAATGAATGCCCTTGCCTTTTTTGCCAGTGCATCATGCTGCTGGTTGATATTCAGTTTTATAGTAAAATACTACTCCATTATCTTTTCCACAATTACCATTATCAAGCCAGGTATATCCCCTTCTATACCTGTGCATTTAATTTTTGCTCTGTAACTAAGAACTTTGCATTTGCTTGTGTTATGCATCATCCGTATCTTCTCCTTGGCTGGATGGACAGTAGAAGATGCCAATAACAGTATTGTCTTATTTGTTCCTTTACTTATCTTTCATTTTAACCCAGATGTTCTCTGCTATACTGCTAACTTGATTCACATGGAATTCTGAACAAGAATGGATATTTTTAAAAGATGGTACAACTCCTCCTCCCTTTCTATTGCTTCTGTTCCTTTTGAACAAAATGCATGCTTGTATTGCTATATTGTCATTATCAGAGTTATCCCAAGTTTTTATTAAATATAATTTAATGGGTATATTTGCCTTTCTGTACTTTGAGCTCTTTTTATTTCTTATGTGCTGTATTAAATATAGGCAATGAAGGCTGTGAACTTAATGAGGCAATGTTCTTTCTGATCTTGATTTTGCACCAAGTGATTTAAAAGTCCCAATTTCAGCAAACTTAATTTCTATAATGCATAACTTTATCTGAGGTCCTAACTTCAGGGTTTTCTGTTTATTGCCACAAACCCATTTTGTGCCATCAGTCTTTCATCTAGCTAACTTAGACCATGGACCCAGAAATCAAATCTCTCCATTAGCATCGTAAGTCATTGACTTGCAGCATTCTTCTTTCCTTTTCTGGCTCTTTTCTACTGAGTCCCCAGGCTCTTGAACTTCCTTCCAAGACTTAAAATCTGTGGTGATGTAGTTGTAGCTGTTTTCATGCAGTATCATTTGTCCTGACATGTATTAGCAGGATGGGATAACCATCAATAGACTTGATAAATCTCGGAAGTTGTCCCATCCCTGGGATCTGCTCTTGGTTAACAGCACACCTTATGAGCCAAGGGGTTTTGTTTCCTTAGTGCAGGAATTCACTGGGTACCTTTGGGCCAATCACTCTCTCTTAGACAGCCTACCCACCCATATGGTAGTTTTTGTGGGGAAAAATGGGAGGAAGGAGTGCTTATACCACCTTGAGCTCCTATATGGAAAGCAGGATATACATCTAATAAATCAGTCAATAAATACATTTGTTTCTGTTCCTGGCAGCACTGAGTCATCAGTTACGATTCTTCTCTTTTTCTACTGATAAGGTGAGGCTTATCCTATCTGCTCTTCAGGGATCCAGTGTGCTGTTGCCCATCCAGCAGTGCCTGCCTGCCTTTTTTTTGCAAACAGTCCCTCTGGGTATGAAAGGGTCCCCCTTTCCCTTTCATTGATTTGCAGTAGGACATATATTCA